ACTTTAGTCTGCAGGCTGATGTTCTACCCACTGAACCAAACTGGCTAGGGCCCTCGTTTAATTTTCTATTTAATTGCCTAAAGTGATTGCCCTTATGGCGTCCACACTACCAAAGCAACTATTTCACCGAGGACAAAGTATACAGCCTACTTCACTCTGGTTTTAGTACCTGTCCCCTTAGCTTTAGAATGAATTTACTTAACAAGGAAAAATACTGGTAGGCCAATCACAGGAGCCTAAGTCGGAGGATCAGGTATTATGTTAGCGTATCGCTCATCTTCGAGAGACAGTGGCACGGTGGTCCCATTAGGACAGGATTAAAACCCAAGTTCTAAGATAACACACAGGATTTGCTCTAAGAATTTGCAGACCCCCAAGTCTGATGTATTCGAAGCACAATCTAGGCAATTGCTAGAAGAAGGGCCAACACTGCGTTCAACAAGTGATTCATCTTTTGCAATTTTAAATTATCTTTCGAAGCAAAGAATATCATCCATTATTGTTTTCACTTCAAGGTTCACGTTGAGGTTAAAATTGATTGCAAATTTTAGATAAAAACACATAAGTTATTTTAATTCCAAAGGACTTTCCTGACCACCTCTCACCAGCAGAACTAAAAGTGAAACGAGTTTGGATTTAGTGAGCTGCCCAGTGACTCAGCAGCCCCATGGTACAGAAGCAGTCCACGGTGGGCACAGCTGCCTGGATCTGCTCCTCTCCTTACAGGGGTTACGGACAAACACCTATGGCTCGACCGACTCACAGGACAGCGTTCCTCTCTGGTGCCAGCGGATGGCTCAGACTGGTCTCACAGAAACAACATTTTAAAGCCGGAAGAGCCGTTAGATACCAGGGCAGGTCAAGCTGCACGCTCCCACAGCCCTCTCTGGAGTGGAGGGCACCAAGGGAGTCTTTGGAATGTACAGAACTGAAATCTATTCTCCCAACCCTGGGGGCATCTCCAGGGTCCGAAGAAAACCAGGGCTGGAGATCCAGTTAAACTGCCGAGACTGGCAGTGCCCTGGAAGGAGCACCGATCTGGGTCTGGGTCTTTGTGGGCCACTGGGTCACGTATGAGCTGTGAGGTCTGAGGTAAGTCACGCCCCTTCTAAACCCGTGACATTAAACCTAACGCATTGTGTAGTAAGGATGAGATGAGACAATGTCTTACCATGCAAACCTACTTAGCAGTTATGGTCACACTGATTTGATCCGGAGGTTCGTTAAAACTTACCCAAACTATCATCCATTGGATAATCAAGAGGTACCAGCGGTTTTCTGGGTTCGGGTAAAGCCATAGCTGAGTTAAAGGCCAGCACATCTTCGCACTCTGTGTCTTTAGGTCCGCCCGGGCTCTTCCGGGTCTCTTCCGGCTCATCCACATGGATGGTGAAGGCGGGCTGCTTGCCGTTTGCCTTCCAGGGAGGCACAATGACGTGCTCATCGTTGACAGGAAGGTCCTTCAGAGGCGCAGCCTGAAGAGAAGCCAGTGAGGGCTCTGAGCTCATCAAAGGGAGGCTGGCTTGCTGCCCCTATGGGTCTCCCCCGCGGCTTTTACCCCCAGCTACTCCATCAGGAAAAGACACTTCCTGGGCCAAAATCCAGGCGGGGAGTGGGGGTAGGTAGTCAAGGAAAAGAAGGGATGGTTCAGTTGGCCACAGGCACGTCTACAAAGGTGAGAGCGAGTCTTACTGAGCGGAAATACGAAAAACCAGTCAAGGCCACAAGAGGGAGGGAGGGCCCAAAAGATGACAAGCTTAGGAAAGAGCCGGCAACAACATGGTGCACCGCGGTCACCGGGGTGGAGCGACAGAGCAAATCCGGGAAAATGGCGGAATTTACCAAAAACAAAGTATTTTTATATCCTTTCCTGAAGTAGAGGTGACCTCCTAACTTCCCTCTATTGGCGGGAGGGGGGGAGGGAGGTTCTGGGGTTTAAAAGCAAGAGTGAGGCGTGGTGGCGGGCAAAGCCCACGCATGCGGCAGGGCTTGGTCTGACCCATTATCTGCAGAAAAACCAGCCGACGGAGAGCAGAGCAGGCGAGCAGCACACGCAGTGCGGCCGGCGGGCAATGGAGAACCTCCCCGTGGCACCCCAACGCGCCAGAAACCAGGGATCGGGGGCCGCCGACCAGACCTCCCCCAAAGGCCAGAGAGCTCTCT